TTGTTTAGATTCTGGATTTTTCGATATTATTTCTTAAAATCTTCTCCTTTATAATTCGAGAATGATCAGTTTCGAGAGAGAATAACATCTCATTTAAAAAAGTCGGAGAGAGAAACACGAGCGCTGTTTGGAATTGGAGTTGCTGGAACGTCCGATTTCGTCAAACATCGATGTAGTAGATTCCCCGGATAGAATCGATTCTAGCCGTGGTATGTTGGGGCTCGAGTTGAGATATGACGTCGTGTGTCATTAGGTACGTCGTTATTCATTAAACTGACGTTCTAGTGCTTCAGTCGGTCAAACGATAATCGATGTAGGCGAGCGATATTGGTGCCCCATTCGAGGTTCGATCCCTCTCTTTCTCTTGCAAAGTGTCCCACAAGATATCCGATCCGATTACTGTGCCTCGATCAATCGATTTCGTCCGTTATTTCCCGAGCATTAGGCAAACAAAGAACAGTTTCTAGCGGAATTACCAATCCGTTTTATTCGTACGTCGGAATTTCAATTCCCACGCATTCGTTCTCCTATGTATAGTTCGAAACTATATTCCTCGTCCTCGACGCTGAGAGCAATTGCGAATTCATACAAATATTGAAACGAAAAAACGCGCGTTTACGATATACACGAGCAAAAAAGAAGATAATGCTTCGTTCTCATTTCGCTAAGTGCTACTAATCGTTATGCAGAGGCAATCTTTCTCACGATCGACCAATCCAATTTTCCAGTTATTTTTCTTGCACGCAAATAAATTTCTCGATGACACAGCAGTGTTCACGTATTTACGAATAATTCGTAACAGACGCGTAATAATAGACGCCGTCCACAAACGAAGAACTCATGCGGAGTTATGCCGATTCCTCGATCGTTGGATCGATATTCCAGCGAAGCTATCCGCGCATAAGCCGTGTATATATTCGCGTATCAAAATTATAGACGCGTACGTATAATCGTAAACGCGTGGAAATAAGCGAAGCGATTGCGCGGATAACGGTGTTCACGAAAATTACGAACCGATCATTTCTCCTCGAATATACGGATTCGATCGAAGTGAGGAAAGCGAACCATCGGATTCTATATTGGGCTGTCGTTTTTATCGAGGTCACATCGACAATTAATCGGCACTGATCACACGGGGTCGGATCCATCGTTGTAAATTGTAATAAGATGCCTTCTAAGCGATACACTTCCTATTGGGTTAACGAAGCGAGACCGTTAATCGTGGATCCGTTGCTCCTCCAAGGTTGCCCCGAAACCAGTCACCGTTAGTTCAACGTGTGATTAGAAACGGGCAGACCATCGCTTATACACGTTCATTTCTATCGGAGTAATTAGTACCAACAAGTTGTTGCATGTTATATCGAATAGCATACCGGATCGTTTCTATTCACGTACTTCACTGGCTCGAGATCATCAAGCGGTATATAAAGTTTACATCAATTTACGTCGTATTTTCTTCTTCTACTTAGTGTTATATTACTTAATAAACGTTCGCTATAAAATTTCTTAGTAAACGATCCGCAATAGTTTGATAATTTTACTTGGCACTCTCCGTTAAATATCGTAATTTCAATTACGCGTAATAAGTCAATTTTATTTGATTTTTAATTCGATATTTTCCTCGACAACAGACATTTACCATTATCTTCAATTTTTGCTCTTCGTCTTTATCCAAGCTTTGCCTCGAACCAGTACCTCCTTCCACTGCATCTTTACCACCCTGTTGATCATCCTACTTGTTTATGCACACATGTTACGCGAAAGGAATGACGAGGCTCTCGTGTTCCCGCGAGATATCAAAACATACTAGCGACCGTGCTGAGGAATGCGCACTCGAAAGAATACCTTGAAGGCAACGTACATACAGACACTGATTTTGCATCGACGTTGCACCGCCGAAGGCGTCGCAAATAACGGTTTGCTAATGAAAATGAATACGCGACCCCGTGAACCCACGTATCGTGTTGTGATTCGAAATGCCGGTTGAAATAATTATGGATATTAGAATCGGGTGGAATTAAATCGTTTCGTTTAATATCGAAATTTTGTCGCATCGAGGGAACAGTAGAATAGTTTGATTGAGTTAAATGGTTTCATGTAAAGAAACGATGCATCTGAGATAAATGAGTAAAAATGTAATTCTTTGGGTATAGATGTACAAGAAAATAAATCTTAGAGATAAAAGAAGAGGCTAACATTAACGATTATGTTAGATATAATTTTAGTTGTAAGTATAAGAGTCACGTCCGTTGATTTTATTTTATTTATGATTCGTTTAAGATCTGTGGATTTCTGGATTATAATCGCAATAAGTGATAGTTGTGCAAGAAAGCAGTTTGAAGAACGTACTGAGATATACGTCTTGATGTTATTATTTTTCTTTTTATAATTTTTAAATCGTTATATCGCTCTTGTTAGAATAACATAATGCATTTAATATCGCAGCAATAAAATTAGAATAATTTAACGCGTTATTATGGAACGATGTTAGCAAGGTTGCTATTATTAGTAGGCTTACAAGGAGAGATGCATCAAAGGAAAGATTCAAAGGGCCTCAGGGCAATGTGCATTTACACGGTGTATCGGCATTGCATCGCTACGCGTCACAAATAACGGTGACTAATGAAAACGCGCATTCTATGGTCTTATGTAGTTTTGCGCACGCGTGAACGTCAACTACAATAATCAATTGTAATCCGTGCAAATCACCATGGAATGGAAATAAAACAACGTGAAACGTTAAACAGATAGTGTCCAATTTTGCGCGATTCTATTGGCTCGCGCTCGATTTTCCTGCAATCTCGATCCTTTCATTTAAAAAGGAACATCTGAACATCAAGGAACATCAAGATATCTGAAATTTGCATCGTTTTGTTCGGTATACTATTATCTTCGATACTTCGATATTTTATATAACGAGAAATCAATCGAAATTAATAGTAAATATGTCAAAATGAATGATAATTTAATTTAAATATTTTTTTAAATTTCATCTATTAATATTTTTTTATTTTAACTTGTGTAGATTATGTTTCTACAGTTTTATTAGGAAAGCATCAATATTCTATATAAAGACACATCTTTTGCGACAATGATGAAACGAAATATTGATGATATTTTAATCGATTTTTAACTAAAAGTAATATCTAATTAGTAAAAAGTAATATCTAATTATTTATTCTTATTTTTAAAGTATTAAATACTGTGTTTTAATAAGAATATTCGTTTATTTATTTATTTAATATAATTAACTATTTATCATAATAATTATCATTTATGAATTATCATTTGATTTACTATTATATTTCAAATCTCTTCAATTTCTTTAATTTTCATTAAATTATTAATTTTAATAATTTATTTTTATATTAAGCGGATCTTGAAAGTAGTAATCTTCTTCTTGGCAAGATTTAGTAAATTAGTATCCCTTTCATTATTAAAAAATATACAAAAAAATATAAAAAAATTATACTCAAAAGGATATTTTTTAACAAGAATAGCGATTTCATGTAAGAATTAAGTTTGAATTTCTTTTTTGTGTTTCAGTTTCCTTTAATTTAATTAAATTTTTATTTTAAATTTCTTTATTTTGCTTGAATTGTTTTAATTTTTATGTTAAATTAACATTAATACTTAATTTTTATTATAATTTTAATAAATGGATCTTAATAGAACTTTTATGTTTTAGAAATCAACAATTCGATATTATATGATACTTTAATTTTCGCGCGGTTTTGTAAATAAGGAACCTCGCCGCTACAGCCAATTAAAAAGCCCCTAGACGAACTATGATGCGTCATTCTTCAGTGGGAAATTATCGTGATTGCTACGCATCGCTTCAGTTGCTCTCAATTACACAGTAAGTGATTTTATTTCTATTTTATTATCGAATTTATGAGTTATTGTTAGTTTCATTCATTTAATAATCTGTTAAACATTGTAATAAACATTGTAAAATTGAATTAATTAGTTCTTGAAGTTTCTTTTGCTTGTTCTATTCGATTGTTGAGGTTATCGATAGCTTATATTGTATTATAATCTTTTTAATCAATATTTCAGTTTAAATATTGCTTTAATTTTAATTTTAGACATTTTTTTACGGTTTTGATCTTTATTTGTGCAGATTATTGTTCAATTATAACTTCGAAAAAAATTCGACTATGAAGAAAAAATGCGTACGTCATTCATAATTTACTCAAGAATTTATTCATAATTTTTTTGCAAATATGGTAAGATTTTATCCATTTTAATATATATTGAACGTAAAATAATTAGTTTATTAAATAAAAGAATTAATTTTTTTCGTTAAATTATATTATTTTAATAATACATTTTCTTTTTCTAACTGCGTACTATTTCGTTCGTATATATATACTGTTCGTACTGTTTATATATTCGTCTTTCTCTTTCGTCTATTATATTTGAATGAAAATATAAACATTTCTTATAATACGAGCGTTTTAAGAAATTGAGAATTCGTCTGTATACGTTCGATTTGTTGTCAAACTTCCGAGCGTATCCCCTCTCTAGTTCGTGTTTCGATAATCGAAATTGTCGCGCGAGGTCATTCTAATATCGATTGTAGTCGTGTTCGGTCGTGTAACGTTTCCTTGAGTTGTGTGATTAATTTAGTGCGTAATATTTCTTTATTTCTATATTTGTTTCTTATTGTTTATATATTATTAATTAAATTATAGTGAATTACACGTGCTTTTATTATAATTATTATAATTTATTAAAATTATATCTTTTGGGCGGTTAAATTATACTTTTTTCTTCATTCATCTATTCGAGGTTAGAATAATAGGTATATATATTTATAACAAATTATATTATAATTTTTTAAGTGGAATTTGTGCTTAGTTATTGTTTTATTTTAATACAATCAATTAATTTTATACGTTTTATATATTTATTTGAAAATCTTGATTTTCTTTTATAGGTTATTTTGTAGGTTTCTTTTATAGGTGACTAGTGGAATGAATTTTAAGAAAATACATATTTCAATATGGATACCTTAATCAACAATTGGTAAAATTTTATACATTTTCTTTTTACTGTATTACTAATCACATATATTGTCATTAAATATATAATATAATAATTATAAGATAAAAATAGAGAATTGTAAGATAAATGAATTTCTTAATATGATTTGTCTTTATTCATGATTCACAATTAATTAATAGATTTCAAAAATTATTAATATTTTTGAAACAAATACTTCATAAGTATATTTAATAATCTTTTCTTATATTATATCTTCTCATTATTCAGTTTAGTTTCAGGAAATATTTGAGACCGAGAGCAATGCGGTCAATAGAATCAGTGTTTATTTCGTAAAAGTTTTTATATTTTTTGAAGTGTTTGAAATTCTATTTAAATTATAATAGTTTCGCGAGATTAAAATCAGTGTTTTTTCGCCAGTTTGAACTTAACGGTCGTGTTATTTATTCTTTTTTTTTTAAAATATTCGTTTCCGATATATATTCGAATCAGTGCTTTAGAAGATAAATCAATCATCCGTTATGCAAAAAGGTAATTATCTTTTATTTTATTTAAACTTTTATTTTTCTATTAAAATAGAATTATTAAATTTCGAATTTTTGTATTTCAAGTTTTTATAATTGCATTTTAATTTTTATTATTATTACAATTTATATATTAGAATCAATTCAATCTTTACTATTAGTATTCTATAAAAATAATAGCATTTCAATAATAGCATTTTTTTATTATTTCAATTTTTTTAAATCAATAATGTTTTAAATTGTCAATGTTTTATATTTGTTACAGATGTTTCACAGATCTCAAGTCTTGCTATTTAAAAATAGTCTTCTCAATGACTTTCCATTGATGATAATATTGATGGCAGTTTTTCGCATCTAATGGTGAGTCGCATGCATTTTTGTTCCTCTAGTTACTCAATCATATCGTAGGATAAAAGATCCGAATCGATACGAGTGACTGGTTGTATATGTAGAACTTTGCACGAGCACAGTGACCACGGATATTTACCGTGAATAATAAATTTTCTTTTTCTGTGTTTTATTTATTAGTTCAGGTTAGGTTTTCTTGCGCATCACATTTTCTAATATTAATAATTTTTTTATAGTAATATATTAATACAATATCATAATTATTTTAAATATTTGTAGTTGAAAATTTTTGGCTACAATCAATTAATATAAACTTTGAATAAAATATAAAATTAGAAATTTATAAAATGAGAAAATATTTAGTATAGATATGCATTCAAATATCCATATGAATATGTATGTATAAATAAAGATCATGAATATTTAAATGAATAATAAATAATAGAAATAATTTCAATTGTGTAATGGAAAAGTCAGATATTTCCTGACTTCAATGTAATTATTATACAATAATTATATGAATGCATATCATTAATGTGATAATAAATCATTTTCAATTTTATTTCTTTCGCTTTATAGTAATATTTTAAAACATATATTTATTTAATTTTTATGCTATAAACTTCGCGATATAATTTGATATATATTTTAATAAAAGTTTTATTTCTTATGTATAAAAATAAATTAAATTTTATGCGCAAGAAGACGTTTCGCGACAGACAGATTTCTGAATTAAAGCAACAAGTTTTAAATGCTTTCATGTTTTCAAAAATATGCTTTGATAAAGAAATCGCCTGAGGTTACTTGCATTAATATTTATATCACATTGCAATGAATTTTAGTTTCACTTTAAAGAGATAAATTTCAATATTTTAAAATTCCNTATATATATTTCTTACTAATTAATTCAATTCTTTTTATTCAATTTATTAATTCATAAAATCAATAAATCAAAATATACAAAGTAATATTATAAATATTTTGAAATAAAAAATTGAGAATATAAAAATAATTAAAAAAAGAAAATTGAAAAATATTAATCCGTTAGATACAAAATATTTATATTAATCTATCTTTTTAGCTCAGGATTTTCAGATTTAACCCCTTCCATGTTCATTGCCAGGATCTCATTCACGTGCTCAGGTGCTACTTGGATGAGAGAGAGGCAATGAATATGATGACCATAGTTCATAAGTTTATAACAATTTCATAGCGACTGACAATGTGTTGGTGCATCGTGCACGACGTATTTTCCACATTGTGTATGTTGTTAGGCTGTGGAATTGCGTCGTTTTAATTATTATTTCATTTATAGCGCCATTTACAGTAACAAGTTTCTATCCGTTACTAAATACATATCGCGGATTACAATACTCATATTTCTTTAAAAGACGATTTACATGTTCTTTCGAGCATGAATATTTGCAATTAAAATTAGAATATACGTACAACTCTTTATTGTT